AAAAATATAAAAATTGGACTGTTGAAGATTGGCGAAAAGTTATTTGGTCAGATGAAAGTAAATTTCTTATATTTAATTCTGATGGGCGGTAATATTGTTGGAAAAAGCCAACAGAATCTTTAAAAGACCAACATGTTATCCCAACAGTCAAATTTGGTGGAGGTTGAGTAATGGTCTGGAGCTGCTTTACAACTAATGGAGTTGGTTATTTGGTTAATATTGAAGGAATCATGAATGCTGTTCTTTATTGCCAAATATCAGATGGTAGTTTTTTTAACAACACTTTCGCGATATAATTCGGATAAGAATCATATATCTTTTCAACAAATAATGATCCAAAACATACTTCAAAAAAAGCTAAAAAATGGTTTCGCGATAATTCTATTACCTTATTAGATTTGGCCGGCCCAATCTCCTGACCTAAATCCAATTGAAGATTTATGGAATAAGGTTGATAAATACTTGCGTAATAATCCAAACCTAGCTTATTATAGAAATACCTTGTGGAAAAACCTAAAATTAGCATGGGATAGCATTAAAACCAGCTATTGTAACAAATGAATTAATACTATGCCTAAAAGCGTTAAGGATGTAATTAAAGTCCGCGGTGGTTATACTAGATGGTAAAGATTAATAAAATTTGTTAATTTGTAATAATTAACATTTTTTTAGATAAATATTTGATACGCAGTATTGATATTGATGATTAACCGAATCAAAATAATAAATATGCTTTAATTTTTTTTATATTGAATTGCTTTAGTTTTGTTAATTAAAATAAAAAAATTTTATTGTTGCACAATAACTAAAAATAAAAGATATTTATAATTTAAATTTTTTTGCCGGGTGATGCTTTTTTTTTGTGAGCCACGGTAATTGAAAATCTGAAAAATAATATATTAGTTTGAAATAAAGATTAGAACTGGATTCGATATTTGAAGTATATCTGAATATAAATATAAACCCAGTTTCAACCCCTCTATCATAATCTTCTTTATGAAGATTTATAAAGTAATACTTTTAATCTTTTAACAAGTTTCTGTGCTTACAATTTTAAAATCTCATTTTTATATTCTAATATTATGATACAATAATCCTGTTAAAACCCGTCAAATTTCGCAAAGTTATTATCAAAACTGTTAAAACTTTCAAGACCTATCGAACCTGTCGAAACTCATCAAAATCTATCAAAACTGTCAAAACCCATTGAAACCTATCGAACTGTCAAAATAATTTCTGAAAAGTTTCAATATTTGCTTAAATAGGTTTAGGATTTTGCCTGGTAACTATAATATTATTAAATAGAAAAAGAGCTATAAAATCAAATGATTGGATTACAGTATAATGGGTCATGTAGTAGTACATTTTCACCAATCAATAAAAGTTCATATGATCAGTATAGTTTACATCTAATAAAAATATCTTTTGTACAAATGCTTTCTGATTATATCAGTTATTTTTTTCTTAAAATGAATATATTCGCGCTGCTTTAAAAAAAGTCACATGATTTTATTATTTTTGCAACAAATTTCACCAATTACAGAAACTTACGAATATTAAGGTGATGCTGCTGATGTGTAAAGACTTAAGATCTTGGCATTTAGTTTATATAGTACTCTAAGTATAACGGTAAACACGAAAATATTTTTATTTGTATTTGTAAATAAGTCTGATTCATTTTTTTAAGCGCGCACTAATGTGGTTTTTTTATGCATACATATTTATTTAAGGATTATAAATAAAAGTTTGAAAACTCAAAATTTATTTCAAAATATAAAAAAAAAAAGTCAAAAAAGGTTTATTAAAGCAATGCATTCATTTTGTATATGGATCGGCAGTCATTACTCCTAGAATTAAAAAATGAACTTTTTTTAACCTACAAATAAATAGCATCTATGTTAATATTTTCTCAACTTAATTTGTAGTCCTTACTACTCACGACCTGCTTCATTTTAGTTTTGTTTCGATGGTTTAAATAAGCAATGAAACATTGATGATTTAATTAAGATTCTGCACCACGCTTATTAAACTATACTAAATAGGTTAGCTATGTACCTTTTATACTTGTCCCGATAATTTTATAAGGACTCCTGTCACACAGCCACATTGCCAACATTACATAATAATTTCCCCTCTAGAGTTATCAAAGATTTAGTTCAAGGCATGGTAGGATATTTCACGGAGTGGCACCAACCTAATTCAGTGCTCATAATAACGTTGCGCTTATTCTTTAGTTACTCAGAACAAATTATTTTCCATCATAATTTCATCGAGAGCCTTTAACATCCATAACCTACATGAGACTGTATTCGTAATATTTATATTAATAAGACAAATTGGACGCGCGCACTGCGTGGATTTTTACTTTTTCTTAGAGACGAAAGTTCAAAATTTATATCACCAAAAAGAAAGTCATTGGAATCTTTCATATGACTTATTGACAAAGTCGAACAGATGGGATTTTTTATAATGAGAGGATAAAGAACAAAAAAGCAACTTTGTGTAAACCAAATTTGAAACGGGAAAGTTTATTGATTTAAAATAAAAATATTTTCAATCAATCTCAAAAGGGAAATTTTTTTTAAAAAGGAAAATTTAAATTTATTTCACTTAATCGATGTTGTACAGAAATAATCAATCTATCATCAGCTGACGAAATTTCTGAAAAAGTTTTCATTTTCAAGAAATCAAAAAAGCTCAAACAAAAAAAAAAAGGAATAAAGAATAAAATAAAAAAAATAAACTACAATAAAATTCCTTCAAAAAGCAATTAAAAAAAGAACGAAATTCTGAGAAAAAAAAAAAAAACTAAACGCAAAAAAAAAGCATAAAAAAGAACTACCCAAACGAAAAAAAAAGAGGTCGCAGATACTTTGAAGTCCATAGATGTGTTGAAATAGAATTTTTTTTTTGTTTTGGTTCTTTGTATTCGATTTTTTTTTCTTTTTTTGCAATTATTGATATTTCATGTATCTTGCAAAAAAAATTGTTCTATAAGTCGTCCCATTCAATCAATTAAAAATAATTTTTTTTCTTTGTCTTTAAAAACTCTTGTTTTTTTTTGCGGCCTTGTTCCTTAGAAGAATTGCTTTCAAAGAATTATTCAAGATTAAAAAAAAAGTTTTAATTATAATGTGAGTTTAAACTAAAAAGTACATCAAAGGGATTCAAAAACATTTAATAAGTAATATCAGGAAAAGTTTATGACATAATTCAAGTAGAATTAGGTTATTGCCTCTGACAAACTTTATTGGACCTTTGCAAAAAGTGTGAAACTGCCAGAAATAAATCAAAATTTAATTATATGCCAAATATGTTCTTAAGGTCAAGATTTAGCAATTAACTCGTTTTATTTTTAGTTTCCTATTGACAAAGGTGATGATGAACGAATAGTTTGAAAGAGAATTTAAATAAACAGATTAAAAGAAATATGATAATTAAATGTTGATAGTAAAAATTTGATTTTAAAGTGGTCACGAAGAAACTTTAAAGAGAACAATAAATTAAATCATATGTAAATGATTTATGATATAAATATGCGAAATCCAAGCCAAAATTCACTTCAAAGATGAATATTCCAAGCGTTCCTCACTGTCTATTTATTCCAATTACCATTGGGTTTTTACAAACCAATTTATATTACGAGACTTCTAATACACCTGATGAATTTCTTCCGTACCAACCACAAGATACTATCGTTAACACGTAAACAATGACATCAAATTACCCCACACAACTTATTTAGATACCTCTCAATAACAGACCGTCTTCAGAAATTAAATGGAATGATAATAGTACTAAATCGTTACTTTTTTTTTGAAAGAACGTAAAGAAATACTAAAGGCACTGGCAAAAAAGCAGGAAGGTATTGGTGACGTTACCATTAAAAAAAAGCTTTGGAAGCATGCATCAATTTTGGTATCTGATGAGAAAAATATTTATAGTCCTAAGCAATGCGCAACTAAGTAGAAGAATATTAGACAAACTTGCATGGTGAATTTATTTACCTTAATAAAGAATTTGACTAAAATATCTATTCATTGTTATTAAAAATTTGAATTGTTATTATAATTTAGCGTAATAGTAATTATCGATATATGTCAGAAGCTAGAGAAGTTGATCCAAGAATTTAATGGATTGATGATTATTTATTAAATTTGAAATAATTAAACATTTAGGTATAATATTTAAATTTTTATATTTCAATTCGTAATGATACGGTTATAATAAAATTTGATTGTAAAATGGGTTATTTACACGTCTTATATATTTTTTTTAAAAAGGTCTTGTTGAATATTAGAAAGAGAGGATGATGAAAAACATCTGTGGCGTCAATCTTGACCTATTAGGTATTTTATGTAGTACTTACTATCGGAAAGAAAATTACGTATTTTATTTATAGGTTATTTGTAAGAAAAAATTTATATTTAATTTATTACAAATATTTACAAAGATAACATAAACTTATTGTATTGAAATTAACAAAAGAAGTATAATTATTTATCCAGTTTATTGCAACATGAAATTAACACATTTCATTTTGTAGATTTATTTGATTCAACACAAAATGCTAAATAAATTTAATTCTTTTTAGATGTATTTAAAGTGGTTATTTGTTAAGTACCATATGCGGCGTTTAAATTTTTTTGTTTCATAATTTCCTCCTATTCATGCAAGAATCTATTTTTATTATTATTGTAAGACCATTTCTTTTTATAAAAAAAAAAAACCTTACAGGAGAGATCGTCCCATACAAAGGATAATAGTTACACAATTTTTTTTTTTTTAAAAATAAAAATAACATTAAACTATAATCGGTGTAACCTGTCACATATTTTAGACATGCCCAATTTTGTTTTATGATCGAGAATCTGTAATTAAGTTCAAGGTTTTAAAAATTTTGAATTAAAATGACGACTTCTCCTTTAGTAGTTTAGTCAAAAAATACTATTATAACTGCTGTTTAAATTGTGTCACCGTCGTAATATCATCATACATATGCAATAATAATCGGTTGATTGTTTAGTTGTTTAGGAAAAAACTTATTTAATTTCTTTTATAAACTATTAATGATCTAAGGTCTTCCATTCCATTCATAATTTTACAAATTATACCACTTTTAACATGTCACATTAGTAAAAGTTTTATTTGGCCGAGAAAGAGAATTTGCTTTTATTTGCATCTCACCAAATTGTTTCATAACATTCACATAGTTAACCTCGTAACCTCGTAGAGATTGCGCAATGATTATCCTAACTAGACTTGGTAAATCAAAAAAAATAATTCAGTTCCAATGAGGACAATAATAATCGAATTGGATTTAAATCAATTACGGAAAATAAATTATTATTATTATTTATTATTATTAATAATAGAAATTCCGTTTTGCATAATTTTCACGCAATTCACGTTCAAATTTCTTCTTTTAACTTTCCTAATGGCAATAAGGAAAATATAAAGTTAGATGAAGTAGGAGTCACCTTTCATCTTTGATATATTAAATACAAAATACAATAAAATATTTGTAATGAAAAAAAAATATAAATTAGCTGTAATCGGTTAATATCCGGTTAAAAGTTTTTTTTGGCCAGTTCCAACCTCCACTTATATAGTTTATGGCCAGATAAATTTTAAGTTATAAAAACAGTTCTCTCAAGGAACGATGAAAGTTAGACAAAATTCTCTCAACAATAAATTCTATAAAATTTACCAATGCGTTACATTTTTTAAATAAAATAATCAGCTGATATCAAACCGTGAATACATACACAAATATTTTATAAATAAGAATTTTATGAATAGATTTAAGAGTGCGGTAACTATACAATATTAAAATTTATGTAACTTAGTGATAGGTGTCTAGCAATATGTTGGTGGTAAATCTCAAAATATGTATGCAAATAAAAAAAAATATGTGGTAATATGTGTAACATTCATTATTAAATGTAAAATAATATAAAAATAATTCGCAAAAAAAATCTATTTATTCTTTTGGTTATAATATAAAAAATTAAGCATTAAAATAGATTTTTCAGAAAATCACATTCTTCTTTCATTTAAAAATATTTTTATAATTAGAAAAACTGTGCTTTATATCTACTCCAACTGCTGGTAACCAAATATAAATCAAATGCTATTTTTGATAAATTTGGTAATATTAAACTTTTTTCTTTCCAATATTTATCTAAATCTAATTCTCCTTCTTCTATTATTTTTCTAATCTACTGTAAATACTCCATTCTCTAGTAGGATTTTGAAATTCAATTAATAAGTATATATTTGTGTTCAAAAAAAAAGTGACAATAATTATTTATGATTGTGATCAGCCAATCATATTTATTGCAAAATATGTGCATGCATATTTTTATATCTATAAAATATCAGATATGTGGCACATAACATATACGTATATTTATACGTCACATATTCTTGAACACCTGTTTAGTGATTAAAAATAATAGACTTTTTCCTTATTCTTAGAGTTCAGAGTAATCCTTTTCTAGGCTTTTTATTTGAGCTTGGAAATCAGAAGCAATCGTTTGAATTATTTTTTTCCATGGAGATGATCGTCTGTATTGATCTTTCAAATACGACTTTGCTCAATGAATTTGAATGTATTCTTAACAATCATCTGGGAAATTAACAAAAATTATTAAACCTTAACGATTGCAAAATACAAGTGCTTATACAAAATTACATACCTTCGCTTTTATACTAACACAATTACATGAAATACCTTTAAGCTGAATTGTAGTAAATAACGCATCAGCAATAGTGCCATTATCAGTAGAAACAGTTATTGGACAAATTTCATCAAATAATAAGGTGAAGAAAGGTCAGAATATTTTCTGTTGTAAGGATTCATTTTCATAAATTTGTTTCACAATATCGCTACCAGTGTGCTGTGAACCACTGGTTATTCTTTACCATTCTGTACTCTCATCTAGTTTCTTGCTAATTGTCATAATTGAGGACTAAATATTCTGAAAATTTGATATACGCAAGTGCTGAAATTTTGTTATTTGTGAGGGGATTTCCAATATTTTTATTCAAATTATTTGATATACTGTATATAGCCAGCAGAAAAATCCAATCTGAGTAATAATATCATTAAACCTAAATTTCATTCAGAGAAATGATCAAATAAGTAGTTAAATTAAATAATATATAATGTGAGAAATTCCATTAGCAAACCTACCTACATGTATAAATCCAATTGATTGTAAGTTTCTTATCTTTTTCTCTTTTAACCCACAGAGAAAATAAAACATATCCTTCATCATGTTCAGGACCTTTAGATTTCTTTATATATTCTTTGTGAAAATGATAGACAGAGAGGGAAGTTTATTGCTTTTCTAATCCTTTTTTACCTTTACTTACAGAGCAAGTAAATAAAAGAAATTAAGGTAAAAAATGTCATTTTTTCTCTTGAGTATAAATAGTTAATAAGAAATAAGAAATGTGAGAGAAGTATCCGTATACAATAGAAACCTTTCAAATGATGAGATCTCCATACCTTTCCATTATCTTTCTTTTCATTTGGACAATTGCAGATGCAGTTGATTACAATTTTTCCTATTTGATGATGCTCAGCTAGATGACTCTGACCTGATGCAAAAAAAGATATAAGATACTTATCATAAAGAATGATTATAGTATTATCTTTCCTATCTTATAGTTTCTATTCTATTAACATTTTAAAATCCTTTGTTTATAAAATTCCAAATATGAATCAAGAGCTACAATTCTAAATGATCCTTCTCTAAACTTTCAAATTCATATTCATATAACCTGTAGATTAAGATAAAAATTAATAATCCAAAAATAATTTACTATTAGATAGAACCTACAAGTTATACATAATATTTTGAATCCAATCATAATTAAATATGTTTATTGATTGCATAGAAAATTCCACTGCTGAGATTTAAATATGACTTCTTTAAGATCTAGGATGTTAGATTATTTTAAAATATAAAGTAAATAAATGATCATAATAATATTATTTACAAGATATAAAAAATATTTACCACACTAAAACTATTAATATATATTAATTAATCTTGAGACATCTATAGCATTGATTTAAAAATTATATTTTCAAATTTCATTAAGTTCATCAGTGAAAACTTCTTTATTAACATAAATGTTATCATTTGGATCTATTATAATGAATAACATAGGCTTTGAAAAGTCACAAATTTTTAGATATCAAGTAATAGAACCTGGCTTTGTCTAATACATAAAGGATATTTACTGTTTATACTTGCATTTAATATCAAAATTGTAGAGAGCATCTTTTACTAATTTATTGTAGAAAGAATCTATTTGTCTGAGTCAATTATTTTTAAGTACATCTTTCTGAATTCAGTCAAATCTATCTTTAACTCTAATTTATTATCATCTATAATAGTATCATCATTATCTGAACCGCTACAGGACGAAGATTCTGAACTATAAACATAGTTAAAGTCATCAACATTAATAAATTCTGTATCAGATTCTGAATCAGAGTAATCTTCTTTGATTTCATCAGCAACTTTTAAACTTTTTGTGAAGTGAAAAATCAGTCTTAGTCTTTTACAACTTTAGTCACTTTTATTAATATTATGATCTTAATTTATCAAAAGAGTAAGACTTAAATATTATAAAGCGCTCATAATACTTGTTAAAGGAGAAATCTTCTTTTATTCTACGATATTTCAGGATGAAAAGAAGACTAAAGTAGCAGCAAGGAGGGCGTGCAGATCGATTTATTTTTATCTGAGAGCTTAAGAATGATAGTTATCAAAATACATAGTTCAGCCTCTCTTACTTATCAAAATTACTAATTGGTTGAAGGGGTGTGTAAACCGATTTATTTTTTTCTAGAAGCCTAAGAATTATAGTTTTTGAAATAAGTATTCTGGATCCTCTCTACTACTAAAATAATTACTTATTAATTTCACTGTTCTAGAGCTCTTTAAATA